GTTCAAATTTTGATGCTCTTCAATCTTTCCTTAATTTTTTTGCATAATGACATAATAAGAATAACTACACGGTAATTTGAGCTATAAAAAATGGATAATTCATGCTTAGCCCGAATACAGGTCTATAAGATTCTAGAGTTTGAAGATAGCGGACAGAGCTTTTGAAATTGCTCGTTTGTTACCAAAAGGTTTAGGGAAAGTAATTTTTGACAACCCACTTTCTGAAAGTTTAATCTAAATAATATTTCTTCTAAAAATTCATGTTACAAGGAACTAATTTGAACTTGAAAATTGAGCATCTGAACTTTTAGCAAAATTTATGAGTATTGTCTTTTTATGCCATCATAATCGTTTATTTAGTTGGACCGTAGTTTTGGAAAAAGTTTAATTTAATTGAAGTGACAACAGGTTGTAGAAATACAATGGACTGCTTTATTGAAATCTGCAACAGTCGATTGTGATTATTGAATCTTGAAATTCACTGTCGAATTTCTCTGTATCACAGGTGGATCAACGTGGAAATCATCAGATTGACTTCGATGAATTCTGTGTAGTTATGAGGCGGTTATACATGAAAAAGCGGAGTTGGAATGAAGTCGTCAAAGAATGTTTTAGTGTCTTTGATAGGGTAAGTCTATTGCTTTTAGCTGATTTTCACTTTTAAGAGAAAATTCAATGAGATTCAGTCCGAATCGAGTGTGATCTCCAAAAAAGACTTTCAATACATACTACGAGAGTTGGGAGACATTACAGACAATCAGATCATCGACGAAATTTTCCTTGAGGCAAGTGTTTTCCCTTCACTTCCCTTCATTACCTTATGTTCCTTAGGAAGGTATGATTAAAAGAAGTAGTTAATATTTTTCCAGGCTGATGTTGATGGAAATGGTTTGATAGATTACGACGAATTCACTTACATGGTAAAAAACTACATGACCGACGACGATATCAATTAAAGAATCTCATTTTGCTGTACATATGGATTAATCATATTCATGTATCTATTACTCACTCAAATTTAGCAATAAATAAAGAATACCTGTTTCGGTTAAAAGTGCTTTCTGACTATGCAAAGGAAGGAGTCAATGATTAATTTGATAATCATACATGCCACCTTGTAATTTGCAGGCAGTGGTAATTATACCGAAAAGGTTTCACTTCCTTGCTCTTCTATGACTGTGCATGAAACCCTATTATTTTCACATTGTACATCCAGTTCCAGGT